TGTTATACGCAAAAAATGGATCATGGAACACTACATCAAAAACTAATGATGTAATGTATGGTGATTAACATAACATAATAATAATAATAAAAAAAGAAAGGTTGATACCCTTCTGGTCATTAACTGGGGAATCAGTTGTCTTTCTGGCAAATAGAAAAATCTATCACAAGAAATTAAAAAAACTAACCTGTTTGGTTTTCCTTGCTCAAAAAGTTGGGAAAAACAAGTGAAATTAAATTTTTCTTCGATTTGCCAAATGTCAATATAAAATTGAATATTTCTCAGATTTAAAACTATGTGGTAAAGTTTTAATTTTGTCTGGAGAGGGAAACCTAAATCTAATTTAGGGTAATCTAAAACAATGACCAATTAGAATAATTTCAGTTTATATTTGGAATTGAATATATGAATAGTTTGGTAACAATTAAAATTCACCAATTAAATTTTGTTTAGATTGGAATTAAAATTTGTCTGCATATACTATTGGAAAATCAGAGTACTCAGGATTCTTAATGATGTAAATATAGAAACTTTTCAGGGAGGTAGTATGGTAAGTAATGAAGGGCGGGAACATTGGAGTCATTGGCCAGACAGGAAGTCCCCTGTCACTGTTACACAAACAACTCCAAGCAAGTTCCTTAATTTTTATTTCCCATTTTGTAAAACAGGGATGCTGACACTACCCACCACAATGGGATCAGGATAATCATACATGTTACCTAAAGTACCTGGTACTTAACAAGAATTTAGCTATTGCTGTTTAGATGGCTGGGCTAACAGCATAATGTCTGTATCACTTTGGGGGGCTGATATAACCAAGTGCCATACGGACTGGATGGCTTATAAATAACAGAAAATTTATTTTTTCTGAGTTCTAGAGGCTGGAAGTCTGAGATCAGGGTGCCAGAATGGTCAGGTTCTGGTGAGAACCCTCTTCCAGGTTGCAGACTGCCAACTTCTATCCTCACGTGATAGAGAGTGAGTGAACTAGCTCTCTGGCCTCTTCTTATAGGGGCAGTAATTCCAATCATGAGGGCTCCACCCTCATGACTTAATTACCCACCAAAAGGCCCACCTCCAAATACCATGACCCTAGGGATTAGATTTCAACATACAAACTTTGGGGGGGTACAAACATTCAATTCATAACATATAACACATAACATCTCCTGGGACAATTTTTTATTTGTTTTTAAACCTAAACATCTATGCGAGCACCTCATTTAATTATCATTTACTTTTTTCTTTTAAAGAATAATAGTTGAAAGAGAAGAATATCTGGTTAGCTGAAGTTAGGCAGAAAGGATGGTTATATAACCAACCCATTTCTCTTTCTCTATCATCCCTATCATCTATCTATCTATCTATCTATCTATCTATCTATCTATCTATCTATCTATCATCTATCTATCTATCTATCTTTCTATCATCAAGCATCTCTCATTTCTCTATCTATGACATTCTTAGTATTCTTATTTGAACTAGTGGTAACATCTTACTGGTTTCCTCATTGATTAATGACAAATAAAATCTTTGACATCTGTTCATTTTATACCTGTATGAGGTACAAATCTTCCTTTAAAAATGATCTTTTAGAAATTAGAGAAACGATTCCATTTACAATAGCACGCAAAACCGTAAGATACCTCGGAATAAACCTAACCAAAGAGGTAAAGGATCTATACTCTAGGAACTACAAAACTCTCATGAAAGAAATTGAAGAAGACACAAAAAGATGG